GTCTCCCTGCAGATCCACCTCCCCACCGTGCCCCTCAGGGGGTCCTGGGTGCGGAGTGGGAGGTTGCAGGAGCCCACATCAGGTGCAGGAGTTGGTCTGAGGTCCGAGGCCATCAGCATCAGGTTTGCTTCTCCCCGGCCACAGCGGGAGAAGCAGCACTCTGTCCATGGGTCAGGCATGTTGTCCTTCCTGCGGCTTTTGGATCCGATCTGTGACGTGGGATATGGTCAACGCATCTGTGGATGGGGTTGCAGGCAGAGCTTCGTCCCACAAGAGGCTGTCCCCACTGCCGAGGTTGTTGCAGACACTGGCACTATGCACTAGGCTCGTAGACGTTTGTGGGCTTTCCATGGCAGCACTGGATGCCTCCTGCCAAAAAAAAAAGCCTGCAGGCAGAGCCTCTTCCCAGCACTGACATATGCCTGCTCGTGTGTCTGCCTGCACAGGATCCATGCCACGGCCAAGACCAGGAGCTCCTGCTTCAGCGAGAATGATTTGATGGAAAGATTAAAATCTGCATCTGAAATTTGCCTGGTCCAAAAGGCTTTCCATGCAAGGAAGGGCTTCTGCAGAGTCATAACCTTAATTAAAAATCCTGTTGTCCCTTGCATTTCAGCTGCTCAGGCGTGCTGGCAGTGTCCTGTTCACCAGGCTACAGAGGGTGAGCGATGACGCTGTGTATAAATATTTATGTTGCACTGAGCCTTCCAGATCCTGGCCAAATTGAGAAGTCCAGGCCCTCCTGTGCACTTATGCCTGGTAAGAAACGTGCAGGCAAGCATTGCAGATGCAGCCTGCAAGCCAATTACTAGGCGAGCAGGCAGGTCACTGTCCTTACAGTGTGTGCAGGGTGTGTGCCCGGCCTGGGGAGCGGCGTAGCCGTGGTCCCGGCTGCGGTGGGGCTGAGTGATGGCCAGGTGAAGCCCGGCTTGCTGCAGCTCGGCCTCCTGGCTGGGCCTGAGCAGCAAGGGCTGCGCCTGGGGCACAGCAGAGATCTCCCTCGGGGCATGGTGAGGGCATCCTCATGAAGATGCTGCTGCAGCCTAGACCTCCCCGGGGGCCTCCTTGCCAGCCTGCCTGGGCTCAGCCCTTGGCCCCGGACACAGGAGCTCAGCATTGCCAGGTGCCAAAGGGAGAAGCATCCCCGTTTCAAAGCAGCCCCGCAGCTGAGATGAACAGAGTGGGGAAATAACTGTGGCACTCCCAAAAATGTCCTGAAAACTCTCCAGTTACAGAAGGCAGATCTTAAACCCTATTACCAAGTTTCCTGGTTATAGATCCCTCCGGTCACACTGGTGGCATGCGAGAGGAAGCAGAACAGTGCTACCGATTGCACAGCTGCTCTCGGCAGCCTTGGGCTGACCCCGGACCAGCATCCCACACCATGCTCCCTACTCCCATCCCCACAGCCATCCCGGCCTCTTAGCTTCCTAGGTGATGCCGGTGCTGTTGCTGGCACTGCCACATGGCGGTGGACTCTGGGTGCCCACCAGTGCCAGCATTGCCTGGGGCCCTCAGTGCTCCCCCCACGTTGCTCCCCTTGGAGGTGTCACTGGAGAGGAATGGTCTGCTGGCAACAGGGAGGACCTAACCCACAGGTCCTCAGGTGGGTGCTTTTACCCCCTTGCTCTAGCTGGGAGCAAGGTACCTGCTATGATGGTGGACCTCAGGAGAGGTCCCAGACTTTCTGACGTCCACGGGTGCACATAGCTGGAAGGGTGGCTGCTGCCTCTGTTCCTGCCGTTGGGTGAGATCTTCACTGCTGTCCCACGTAACAAGAAGCTAATAAAAGCTGGAGGCATCTTGGTAATCCACAGTGCTGGAAATGATAAAAGTTTATCCTGCAGGAAAGGATATCTACATCAAAGGGACAACTGCAGACTACAAAGGACTGACACTTGGGTCCTTGTATGGCTGCAAGGCCATTTGCCTTTGCTTCTGCCTAAAACCTAGGGAGCGCTCGAACAGGACGTTATTTTGTGGAAAGGGAAAGCTTTGTTTCTGCTTGTGATCATGTGGGAGCTGCTGTAGGTATGCTGTGGGCTCTGTCACACGGGTTTTATTTGTTTGAGAGCTGGTAAAATAACGCTGAGAAGCCCATTAATGAATGAAAGCAAGCCTGTGCAACCTCCGGACCCGGAGGCACGGCACTTGCAGTGCTCGATGTTTGCTGGGGGCTCAGTGGCAGCGGTGCTAAGTCAGTTTGTCAGATGTTTGGAAGAGGAACGGAGTTCTCCTGGGCTGTGAGCAGGCTAATGGTGACTCCGCAGCAAGGCTGGGCTGTCAGCATGTCTGGGCTGAGGCGGTACATCCTGTACCTTCTCTTGGGATCTAAAAAAAACCCCAAAGTACTGCTGACAGTTGCGAGCAAGGAAGAGCAGCTGGATTCCCTGGGTATCAGCTGAGGCAGTCGTGGTGGTTGTAAGGTACAGCAGTGCAGGTGTGCTGTTGCCTGGGATGGAGCCTGGTTTCACGGGCTCCTCATGCAGGCAGATTGCCCTGATTTGGAGACTTTGCTTTTTTCCCAGTGCTTTTGCCCTGGGGAGCAGGGAGCTGCCTGCCACGACAGGCTCTGTGTTTCCCAAGCCCCT